ATCACCATATACCCGCTCTGGGAGTTTAAATGTCGAAGAAAGTGGTTCAGTTGAGACAATGAAATTAGACGATGATGACGATGACATGATGCATTCTAGATCATCCAACGCGCGCTTCTTTGCTTGAGAATGTGCCATCGGTGACCCCAGGCAGCACGATGATTGGAGATCTGATTGCTGCCGATGTGTCACACACATCAATGGGTTGATTATTGGCTGATCGTCCCCATCATTGTTGTCATTCTCGTCACTTCCGCTGTTCTGACCATCAAGGTACATCCGAGGGTTCTGGGAGTCATCAAGTGGGGAAGGTGTGTTGTCTCTATGATACTTTTGAGCCATAAGTTGACCGTGGAAATACATCATCCGTTTAACGGGGGATGTAACAGGTAAGGGGAGATCAGCACAAGTGGAATGTTCAATACTTGGGGCAAGCTGACGTGGATGGATTACTGTGGGATCAAATGGGTAGACCCCAGTTACACGGAAACTGGTCATAATGTGTGCTTCAGTGATTGAGTCCAACCAGGCAGAGCCGAAGACAGACAAGAAGGATGTCTTATTTAGCTTCCTCGGTGTGTTCTCCCGATTATACTTATCGCGGTGATTTGTAAAGCTTCTCTTGAGGAGAGAAAAAATCACGACATCAAGCCCTTGAAGCACATGAGTTGTATGAGAAGGGTAACAAAGTACGACGATCTTGTGGTCATGCGCGTAAGAGATGAAGTCAAGACTGTAATGAGAATTGTGTCCATCAACAACCAGAAGGCGATGGTGGCCCCCTGCCTTCTCCTCGGTACATTCATTGAATGTTTGAAGCCAATCAAATCCAATCTCATGGTCTGTCCAGCCTTTGTCTGAGACTGTGACCCTGCCCAAGAGTGAGTGTAGGCTGGGGTATAAACATGAAGACTCACGCGCATTTTATTGGGTTGTTCCTTAACCATTTTGAGTTAATATTTTGTCCTTTGAAAATTACGACAGGGGGTACATAGGAACCATCAGCACAAACAGTCACAATGACGCTGACATTCTCCCGGTTTCCATCACGTTGGATGTGTGCTTGTTTAGTCATTTTGCGAGCAATCACTTTGACCTTTTCTCCTGTGCCAAAAGGAAAGCCACTTTCGTCCATTGCATATATATTCTCAGGGAGAAAGTTAAACTCCTTGTATTGAGCCTGCAGTAGCTGAAACCAGTGTTCTACTGTAGCAGGATTAACAGCACCTCCGCGTATATTCTCAAGATTTGTGCTCCACTTCGAATTAAGTTGGTCCTTATTACGGGTCAAAAAACCATCAACCCAATTTACTCCCAGTGATTGGAGGTTGGGATGTCGTATTTTTGCGATTTCTAGTGCATACTCAGCAACACCATCACGAGTTAAGGGGAAGCCACGGTCCGACATGAGAAGCAAAAATTCCACAAGAGTATCGGTTTCTGCCTGATTTAGCCATGATCGGGCCATAGCAGCTGCATTGCGACCCTGTCCTCCCTTGAGTCTCCGTAGAAATGTAGTATATGGGACCCTGCATTCCAATGCATATTCTCGTGCACTAACAGCCTGCCGGCCTTCCTGCTGAGCGCGCGCTAATTCAGCACGATATGAAGCAAGAGTTTGCAGCATGTGCTCCTCTACTGCTTGAGATGCCTTTTGCTTTCTCATTCTCAGGGAGTCTGCATGTCGAGCCATTAAGGAAATCGCAAATGCAGAACAGGAAATGGATGTGTGAATAAGGGAAGCACGGATGTAAACCCAGGTCCGGCAACTGCTTGTTCACCAAAACAAACAAACATTGGCACGTGTGCCGATGGCCTTCTGCTCCTGAGTAACACCCCAACCCCGGGTCATACTTTATTGTCATTTCCCTACTTCTGGAATGTACAGGATGCGCAACCCTCATATTTACCATTTTCCACGCTAATAACTACTATAACTCCTTCATTACATGTCCGATCAGCTCAAATTTTTGCGTAGTTGTAGCTGTAGTCATTGCATACAAGCTTGAAAAAAATGAAGAAATATGACTATGAAATAAGGATGCTACGGGCATATTAACCATTGAGGGGTGAAAACCATTGGCACGTGAATGACTGTAGTGTCCAACGACTTGACGCTCTGTGCCGTTTCAACCCGCTTGCTCATTATTGTCTGAGATTGATTTTCCCTCTGCACATATACTGTTACATACTCTGCTCCACGGAAATAGAAACGCACGTTTCATGGCCCAGGCTAACTGGGGGCTCGACGCTACGCGTGTGCATCATTATACAGTTGGCAAGGAAAATGATTAGGTCTTGTAAGCGAGTTCGCAATGTCGTCTTGGTCTATTCCATCTCTATCGACTTGTGACTGGCTTAGACCTTCACGCCCACCGGGAGGATTTCTCCTTTTCACGTCAAGCGGGCACGCATTTGTATGTTGAATGTCCTTTGTTTGCAAGCACAGGAGGCCTGAGCTATGAATTTATTTATCGCTATCGAGAAGCCAATTCAATAATACTCTGCTTCTCGAATGGTCCACACGCCGTTGGGTATGTATATACTATTTCACACCGACTCCCATTCTTGGGTGGAAGCACGCGTTGAATTTGCATGGTCCAGGCTGAGGGCTCAGCGTTACGTGCGTGCGTCACTACACAAAATGGCTTGTATTCGAGTGCGCAATGTTGCCTTTGGATTTGGTCCACTCCATCTCTACGGAGTAGCTTAAACGCTTACGCTGTTTATCAGGTCCAGGGAAGGTGCGTGGTTATTTCCATGCTAGGGATCCACGTTGTCTTACTAATACCTGTTACGTCCACTAAGGCGAGTCGACGCATATATGATATGAGAGCACTTCTCCCAAACTCCTTAGACGCACATCGTTCTGATCGCTAGCCATACCAACGCCATGCCCAGTGATCCTAAATCTCATCGCTTTCCCTCCTGGTTCAAGAAGACGCGGCACCCTTCTGAGCTTTCTGACGATCGGCCGCAGGTCTCAACACCTCCCTCCAACAACCAGATCATCGAGCCTACCACCGCACATGACAGAACGAACGACAAAGACCATGGCAGCCCCGAAGGACTGTATTATGGCGCCCTTACTACTACAGCATCCACTGTTCTACTTCATTGTAGCACCTTACAGGATAATACCACGGAGCAACGGACATCTTTTCGAGACAAGCTACTTCGGCCATTCCGAAGAAGACCCCGTTCCACTCCCAGTCCCAGTCCCAGTCGTCACAGCCAATCAAGCGCATCCCAATCCAAACGTCCTATGCCGACTGCTCCCGTCCAGACACCCACAAACGACTCGTGGCCATCACTGTCTCCTCCCACCGAGACGAATACCGAATTCCCACACGCGACGGGCAACTCACTTGCCACTGGTAACGATGACCCAAGCGTCCACACGCAACAAGAACCTGGATCATCAATCCCAGCTATTTCATCGATGCCAGCGGAATCTGTGCCTCGTAGATCCGATGGCGATCTGAAGAAGACGATCATCGGCACCACCAAACTACTTCTTGAAGCTGCGGCCACTGGTCTCAAGTTCGCCCCCATCGCTAATCTTGATCAGATCCCAAACACGCTTCTGAGATGTATTCAAATATGCGAGGTTTGTTAATCATCTTGATGATCTTGCTCTTGATTGCTTTCACACCTGTTGCATACATGTAGAATGTCAGTGGCAATACCGAGGAACTCAACCAGTTATGCATCGTGATTCAGCAAGCGCAAGAATCGGTGGTGAAACCTCTCCAGAACTGGACTGGAGACACTCCTCCTGAGCTAAAGACCCTAGTGCAGGAATTCTGCGTGTATGGATTTCATTTTCCTCTCGTTTACATTCATTCATTCTCTTCGTAGCGCGTTGCAAACACAACTAGAGAACACTGTAGTAGTACAGAAAAAGCATGTTGTCAAGAAGACCGTTCAAGCGCCTGATATAACACAGCAAATAACCGATATGAAGAACTACCTGAATAATGCAATTCATCGATTCGAGGTTTGCGTACTCGAGATTTTTTGGGTGACTGGATCCTGACTTACCATGTCCGCCACAGCTGAGATCGTTGACTTTTATCATGCTTCGTACTGGGCACACATCGGTTCAATGTACGTGTCTGCGTAGATACTTATGGATTTCCTAATCACACATGCTCCTAGCTGAGATATCGAAACTCAAGCGAGCCCCGGCCGAGCACCTTTATGTGAAAAGCAAATCAAAGTGCCTACCAGGCACGCGGGATTGGATTCAAGAATCCCTACTCATGCACCTGAAGGAAGCTGGGAATCGATTCGTTTGGCTACGGGGATCTCCTGGGACAGGGAAGACTGCGATATCTATGAGTGTCGCATCCACTCTTAAGGAGCAAGGTATGCTAGCCGCGTCATTCTTCTGGGATAAGAACCAGGCAGGAAAGGGCTTGGATTCTATCGAACTGTTCCCCTCCACCCTTGCTTGTCAACTTGCATCCTTCAATGAAGACTTCAAATTGTCGCTTGTCAAACGCCTTCGGCAACCAGATTTGGTCTTTGTTCAGGATCTCCCTCTGGACAAACAAATCAATACTCTGATGATTGAGCCGATGCGTGACTTGAAGGACGTATGGTCCTCGGGAAAGGATCACATCGTTATTGTCCTGGATGGCCTTGATGAGTGCGGGGATCATGAGAGACTCGGGTCCCTGATGGAACTAGTGCTTGCCTTTCAGGAGCTGCCACCGATATTTTCTGTGCTAGTTAGTTCTCGTCCTGAGCCAGAAGTCATTTCAGCTCGGGATGAAGCTCGGGCCAAGGGTCATGTCATACTATGTGAAGATTTGGATGAGGTTGTATGGGAGGAAGGTTTCCAGACGGTCCGCTGTATGGTGGAAGAAGGCCTTCAGCACCTCTTTGACAAGTATTCATGGAAACCAGACGAGAAGGAACTTGACGCTCTCGCTTGGGCTTGTCGGGGGTTACCTGTTATGGCATCCATCCGGGTCCGCGATGCTGCCATGCAGACACGGCGTGGCCGCACCTTACAGTCGGTGTGCTGGGAGTTGCTAAACCTCACTGATGCACCTACCAACCTCAACTGGGAATACTTGCGAATTCTTCGACGAGCCTACACGCTGGATTCATCTGATATTCATCCAGATGTAGCCAAGAAGTACCGCTTAGTGGTTGGCGCAATTGTTGTGGCGCACGAGCCGATGAACGTCTCTTTTATGTCACAGCTTTTCAAGATTAGCGAAGCTGAGATCCGTGCGACATTGGAACCAATCAGCTCCATCGTCAACCTTCCCTTAGAGGATGCAGAGGATGTGGCCTTATATCACGCAACAGTAAAAGAATTCCTCACAGGGGAACCAATTGGCGATGAGAGGGACAAAGTATTCTTCATCGATGATGTGCAAGGGTACTTCTTTGGATTGCCGCTCCTTCGACTCTTCAACACTCATTGTGAGCAGGATACATTCGGAATACCTACGAATCCCCCTTTCGGAGATGAAAGAATATGGAAGGAATTTTTGATGAAAAAGGACGATTATCGCGGGCGCTTCCGCTATGTTATTGAATACTTGTACAAGCACTTGGACCCTTCGCAACTTTTTTCACAAGAGTCCAATGAATTACAGAACGAGTTTAATTCCTTCATCACACAAAAATACATCTTGACTTTCGTGCACATAAAAGATTCTTACTATGTAATTCCTGACGAATTACTTCAGTTCGGTGTAAGTATAAACTATTCATCCGACGCTTGTCTGATGTCATTTTTGATAGAATCATGATTCAATCCACCTCTTGAAAGGTTTATGTGAGGTAGCAGCTGAGAGTCCTGCGGACACACCATGGCATCTCTATCGATCAGTGCTCCCTTTCGCCCCACCCTCATCGCCCCTTTACAAACGATATGGACATCTCGCTGATCCTGTCCGGATCTTCTCTGCCTTCGGCGAGTTCTCTGGTGGCACCATTCCATTAAGCAAGGATCTGCTCATCAACCAAGAGGTCATGCAGGCAAAGTTGAGTGAACTACTGGAGGTGGTCGATCAATGGGGAGGTAAGATAATCAATTACGAAGCTGAATTCCATGAACCCGATGTTCGCAATGGTATTGTGACATGCACTGCACTCTCCCTCGATGGTTGCTATATTGCACTCGGATTTGGCAGCGGAATTATCGAAGTGGCCGATATCAACCGCCAGTGCACAATCTGTCGATTGCAGCGCGATCCAGCCAATCTCCCGGCCTGGATCGAATTTGTACATGGAAGCCACCGAGTCGTCACTGAGGATAACGAAGGGAATGTAACGATCCTTGGCGACGGTATGGCCCCTGTGAATCTTGGCACTCTTCCCACCAGTCCCTATCCAGCTGGAACCACAACCTCAGATGACGGATTATTTGTCGTGCGAGCCCCACGAAATCTCGACAGCCCTTGGTACAACAACATGACGCTCATATCTGTTTTGGAAGTTCCATCCATTCAGCCTCTCGTATCTCCTCCTTTACCTTCTCAACTCGATAATGAGGGGTTAGTCGTTCCGCACCGTCGGACACTCGGTTTCTCCCCAGGAGCACGCCATGTTGGTGCTTTTGATGGGGCCCAGGCTGTTACCTGGTCAACAGAATCATGCCAATGCATCGCGGGTTATCGGGTGACGAACTCCGGTTATTGGATTATTAATCCTAATGTCCCTCTGACATGCTCATACCTTATCCCTGATCCTATATTCACTCGAGCCACTCTTCCCTTGGCAGAAGGCAACACAGCTTGTGTGCATCATTCTGACGCGCATGACGAGTCTGATGAGTCCTGGATCAAGTGCCCATTTTACGACCTCTCGCCAAGCAACTCGGAGGGAATGGTTTGGCTTCACCATTTGCCCGCCGTAACGAGAACCCCAATAATCGGTGTACCACCGCTCCAACCAGTTTTGTGGCTTAATGGCAGATACAAACTTGCGAATATAAACCATTCGATTACCAGCAATCCTGGTATGGTCATCGAGTGCCATATGATTCTCTAAAGCTTTACCGCCCTCAGTCCAGCAGGGATGGGACTCGGTTCCTGGTCCAGGGAATGTTACGGGCCCCAATTGTCGTGGACATTAGCCAAGTTGTTTAGCATTTACCAGTGCACTTGTCACACTCTTGGCTATAAGCTTGATGACTTTTGCGCTGCAACGCTGTTTAGAATTGTGGAGAGTCTCCGAAGCGTATATTCCCGATATTTCTGTAACGTTAAGTCTGGTAATATACAATATTGTTGGTGGCGATGGGTCTCTGGTATCGTGCGGAGTACAGGAAGATGTAGCGCCCAATGAAATAAGTAAGACCGTACAGCTTCTCGAATAAAGATTGAAGAAAGTTTTGTGGGCCCGTCTTATGGGATGCACACGCATCCGAGCCGCTGAAAGAAACAACAGTTATTCATGGATTTACATTGGTTGTATCACGCATCCTTATCTCTCCTTCTCAAAATATGGCTCCGTCGCAATGTGGGTACGTGTGATCATAAGATGTAGGGACAGCACAGTATAACTACCTAAGGGATACAGGATGGAGGCGGGATGGAGGCAGGATGAAGGATGGGAGCATAACGACGAAACATGAATACAGTCATTCACGTGCCAATGGTTTTCACCCCTCAATGGTTAATATGCCCGTAGCATCCTTATTTCATAGTCATATTTCTTCATTTTTTTCAAGCTTGTATGCAATGACTACAGCTACAACTACGCAAAAATTTGAGCTGATCGGACATGTAATGAAGGAGTTATAGTAGTTATTAGCGTGGAAAATGGTAAATATGAGGGTTGCGCATCCTGTACATTCCAGAAGTAGGGAAATGACAATAAAGTATGACCCGGGGGTTGGGGTGTTACTCAGGAGCAGAAGGCCATCGGCACACGTGCCAATGTTTGTTTGTTTTGGTGAACAAGCAGTTGCCGGACCTGGGTTTACATCCGTGCTTCCCTTATTCACACATCCATTTCCTGTTCTGCATTTGCGATTTCCTTAATGGCTCGACATGCAGACTCCCTGAGAATGAGAAAGCAAAAGGCATCTCAAGCAGTAGAGGAGCACATGCTGCAAACTCTTGCTTCATATCGTGCTGAATTAGCGCGCGCTCAGCAGGAAGGCCGGCAGGCTGTTAGTGCATGAGAATATGCATTGGAATGCAGGGTCCCATATACTACATTTCTACGGAGACTCAAGGGAGGACAGGGTCGCAATGCAGCTGCTATGGCCCGATCATGGCTAAATCAGGCAGAAACCGATACTCTTGTGGAATTTTTGCTTCTCATGTCGGACCGTGGCTTCCCCTTAACTCGTGATGGTGTTGCTGAGTATGCACTAGAAATCGCAAAAATACGACATCCCAACCTCCAATCACTGGGAGTAAATTGGGTTGATGGTTTTTTGACCCGTAATAAGGACCAACTTAATTCGAAGTGGAGCACAAATCTTGAGAATATACGCGGAGGTGCTGTTAATCCTGCTACAGTAGAACACTGGTTTCAGCTACTGCAGGCTCAATACAAGGAGTTTAACTTTCTCCCTGAGAATATATATGCAATGGACGAAAGTGGCTTTCCTTTTGGCACAGGAGAAAAGGTCAAAGTGATTGCTCGCAAAATGACTAAACAAGCACACATCCAACGTGATGGAAACCGGGAGAATGTCAGCGTCATTGTGACTGTTTGTGCTGATGGTTCCTATGTACCCCCTGTCGTAATTTTCAAAGGACAAAATATTAACTCAAAATGGTTAAGGAACAACCCAATAAAATGCGCGTGAGTCTTCATGTTTATACCCCAGCCTACACTCACTCTTGGGCAGGGTCACAGTCTCAGACAAAGGCTGGACAGACCATGAGATTGGATTTGATTGGCTTCAAACATTCAATGAATGTACCGAGGAGAAGGCAGGGGGCCACCATCGCCTTCTGGTTGTTGATGGACACAATTCTCATTACAGTCTTGACTTCATCTCTTACGCGCATGACCACAAGATCGTCGTACTTTGTTACCCTTCTCATACAACTCATGTGCTTCAAGGGCTTGATGTCGTGATTTTTTCTCTCCTCAAGAGAAGCTTTACAAATCACCGCGATAAGTATAATCGGGAGAACACACCGAGGAAGCTAAATAAGACATCCTTCTTGTCTGTCTTCGGCTCTGCCTGGTTGGACTCAATCACTGAAGCACACATTATGACCAGTTTCCGTGTAACTGGGGTCTACCCATTTGATCCCACAGTAATCCATCCACGTCAGCTTGCCCCAAGTATTGAACATTCCACTTGTGCTGATCTCCCCTTACCTGTTACATCCCCCGTTAAACGGATGATGTATTTCCACGGTCAACTTATGGCTCAAAAGTATCATAGAGACAACACACCTTCCCCACTTGATGACTCCCAGAACCCTCGGATGTACCTTGATGGTCAGAACAGCGGAAGTGACGAGAATGACAACAATGATGGGGACGATCAGCCAATAATCAACCCATTGATGTGTGTGACACATCGGCAGCAATCAGATCTCCAATCATCGTGCTGCCTGGGGTCACCGATGGCACATTCTCAAGCAAAGAAGCGCGCGTTGGATGATCTAGAATGCATCATGTCATCGTCATCATCGTCTAATTTCATTGTCTCAACTGAACCACTTTCTTCGACATTTAAACTCCCAGAGTGGGTATATGGTGATGGCAGAAGCCTCCGAAACATCCAATGGGGCCTTGCTGAGGACACGGAATATGAGAAGAAAACTCGTGAAGAACTGATTGCTGAATTGCGCGAGACACGAGCTGCATTTCGAAATGCAAGGGATTATGTGACAAGCGCTGTTGATGCCGTGGATGCGACGAATGCACAGTTAGCACTTTCTGGGATGTATGTATCAAAGGCTCGGACTCAGCTTCTTTCCCGTGAGGAGGGAGAGAAAAACAAGGAGGAAGGTGGTCGGATCAAAGGTGTGTTTGGGCGCGTGGTGACACATGAGGGATTTATTCAGCAGCAGAGTGATCGAGCCAAGAAGAGGGAAATGGAGGACGCAGTGGAGAAGGCAAAGAAGGAGGCGCAGAAGGGCTGGGAGGAATTTCAGAGACACCAGAAAGCCGGTGAGGCAGCATGGAAAGTGCAGAAGGAACAGCTGCAAGCGCTGAAACAGAAGGTGCCAAAAAAGCCAAAAGCGGTCACAAAAAAAGACTGGATGGCAGAAAATTATCCTCAGTTGGTAATTTCGCCATTGGATACAGTGAAAGAGTGTGGAAAAGGAGTGGAGGAACCCATCTGCGACGCCGATGAGCAGTGAACGGGGATCGATCTGGCGTGGGAAATTCAAGGTCACACTATGTCACACTGAACCATTAAGCCGTGAAAGGCCCATTTGCTCACCTGCATTTATTCTCCTTCATTTCTCATTCTTTTTCATCCAATTTTGGACAGTAGGTACATTATAAGTCTGGCTACTATTGGGATTTTTTTTTTTTTTTTGGAGGGCAGATCTCAAATTATAGTGTCGAAATTACAAAAGGTGCGCCATTGGCATGTGAATGACTGTATGTCCTTTGCACGATACGAATGACTAGCCAACTTGATGGGCAGGTGATGTGCATCGAGAGGATGCCACCAGAATCGCATCTGGGAAACGTCATCGAATGGGAATCCTGCTAGTTGTCAGGCCGTATAGGTATGTAGTGAGTGATCAATCGCAAATGGGAACACATTTCAACTGTACTTCTATCTGCACATCAATGATATTTCCCCCAAATGACAAGCCAAGGACACGGTGAGAGCCAACTCGCCAAATTGGATACGTTGGATACGTGTGCAACCCACCAATCAGTTCCGATAAACATGCTGCCATGTTATACCCCAGTCATAGCCCTTCATAGTCAGCGTCCCGAG